ATATATTATATGTTAAATTCCGCCTTCCGGATTAGGAGATATCGTCGTTTCTTTGTGGCCAACCATTTTGAATATGATTTCTTTTCATATTAGATTTTTTATTTTCTCCGGCTTCTACAGGCTACACGACTTCATTCTGGGCTTTTGGATAATTTGGAAATTGATTTTTCAATGTGCTTCTTTGCTTCATTTCTTTATTTAATCAATGGGTTTTTGTTGAGAGATGAGAGTTTGAGATTTATTCTTCATTAACCTGCAATTAAAAGATAAAAATAATTATTAGTGGTATATTTATTCATATAAAATAGATAATGAGGGTATAAAATTTTAATAAAATATGATTATCAGGTTTCATACCAAGTGATTGAACCCATTTCTTAAAACAAGAAAATCAATCCCAACATCAATTTTTTGACCCTATAGACGATGGCGACCACAGTGGGAGCAGCTATTCTCTCTGACGAGATGGTGCTAGCGCAATTAGACAAGATTACAGTGGGAACGGATGTCAAAACTCTGGTCATCGAATTTAACCAGTCCAAATACGAGTAGCACCTCTCCTCTGGTAAGTCTAGTCCCACGAAGGCATGAAAGTGTCGTCGAGTCTCGTATGAAACTTCAGCCCAAGTAGCTTCTGATGATTCAACTCGAGTTAGTCTCGAGAAAAAGTCCAAGCCCCTCAAAAAGGAGGCTCTAGAAACTAGCCGTCAGGCTAAGAAATAGGTTGTTAAACAACCTAGCCGAACTTCGGCTTCTACCAGCCAAATTATGGCTTTGGATGACGAACCTCGCTCAGTTTTGACTAAAGCAAACGTTTTCGTTATTCTATTGTCGAGACGAGCTCGACAACGTCGGTGTCAGAACCAAGCTTGCCGCAGGGCTCGAGCTTTAGTCTTGCTAGATGGTTTCCACTATCGACCGAAGGTTAATCAACCTAAGGTCAACACTTTTGACGAGGGTCAGGTGAATGAGGAACGTCCGAATGACGGATCTCATACTCGTACCCTAATAAACTCAGAACACGAACCTTATCCTCAAAAAGAGGTTTAACAAAATCAACAAGCGGTTCATACCAAGGTTCATCAATAAAACGAACCTCAAGTTAAGAACCGACGGAGAAGATGAACTCACCAAACTCGTCCTATCAACGAACCTCGTCGTGCAAATGACAGAGTTTGTCAACATACCCAAGGTCGTCAACCTCTATAGTTAGAGGGTCTCACTCAGGTAAAGCCATGACGACAGAATTGACTGGGGGTTGTCCAGCTGGCGACCTTCGGGAATATCTCACGCGCAAACGTAGCATGAGTCAGATGCAATCACATTGCTGCTGTGAGTAGCTCATATCTGCGGTGCTTTCCCAATGTCCATGTGGGAAGTCAACGCATAAATATTTAGTCTTTGAACAATTGACTGAATTGCCAATGGTCTCATCATCAAGAAGAAGACGCTTTCGTCCAAAGAAACAAGTGCCCAAGAATCGCCACATTGAAGTGACGATCAACATGGCTAGCAAGGGTAGAAGCAAAATCTCAGCTGATGATTCTGAGTCTTATGATTTTGAAAGATCTCCCGAATTACGAGAGACACTTATTGAATGCCAGGACGTTTACCAACATACTCGCTCTCGTACTGGGGTAATGATCCCATTAGACTACCGCAAACTAGAGGGTTTATCCTGTGGTGTCAGTGAAGAACCTAAAAATTCAGCCATTGCTACTTCTCAGCCCTCCAATATCGACCAAAGTGAGCAAGCAAGTGCTCACATGACAAGAAAAGAGGAAGAACTCTCACGGTAGCTGGAAGAGCAACAATCAACCATCCTGAAGCAGCAGGAGTCCATCAGACACCTAGAAGCGATGGTGGAGAGACTCCATGAGGAGAAGGAAAAGAAGAAGAAGAAGACTCATTCCTAAGCCTCAGGATCTAGGCGTAGAAGACCTTCACCTGTTGATGAAGATCGCTATGATGAAGACGATGAAGAAAGGGTTGTTAAGATTCATTCTGAATCGTCCAAAGCTGAATCTAATCCTCGTATGAAAGAACGAGATAAGAAGTGGGAGGATTTCCAGAAGCAGCTTGACGCACTGAAGCTTCAAGGAAATTTTAAAGAGTTCGGGGTGTCAAGACCCTATCCAAGTGAACGAGATGCGATCTCGTATCCTCCGAAATTCAAACCACTCAACTTGGTACAATTTGATGACAATGGTTCTCCTACCCAGCACATTTATTATTTCCAAGCATAGACTGGTCATATAGTGGGTAATGACCCTATTATAACTCGACTTTTCATTAGTACTCTAAATGGGGTGGCTTTTGAATGGTTTTGCAGACTCGAACCAGGGTCAATCCAGATTTGGAGAGATTTAGAGAGGCTTTTCTTAGCCCGATTCTTCGACGATGACACTAAAGTGTCTATGGCTACATTATTGTCTAAGAAACAGAAGAAAACAGAGTCGGTTGGTGACTTCGTCAAGAGATTCAGAAACCGATCGTTGCATTTACGCGATCAAGTTTCTAAAGCTATTCTCGTGGAAATGTGCCGCAACAATCTTTCCATCAATATCTTATCCAAGATGGGCGTTGTTGCAGCCTATTCATGGAAGGATTTGGTTTGGCAAGGAGAGCAGGTGGAAAACATGCTCAAAAGGATAAATGCTGAAGAGCCTCAAGAATCCCAGCCTAAAAAAGGAGATGGTAAAGGCAATTATAGTTCCCAGAAACAGTCAAAAGGGAAAGACACCTTAGCTGTTGAGACAGCCCCATCCCCGAAGTCTTCTACCAAGCAAAAGGGAAATATATCTGACAATCGTTTTCAGAAGAAATACGATTTCAAAGATGAGCATGTGGTTTCTATTCTTACATCTTTGATCAAGATGAATAAGATCAAGTTGCCGTAGGTAAAGCGGAACATAAAAGTATCAAGGACTGATGATCCTAACTTTTGCATGTACCACAGGATGGTGCATCATCCAACTAAAACTTGTTACATCCTAAAAGACAAGATTCAAGCTTTATTAGACGCAGGTGTGATGACCCTTCAAGCTGAGCAAAAGAAGGTATCTGCGAATATGGTTTCACTTTAATTTGGGGATTTTGCCGAAGTACAAATACAAGATTGCGTGCAACCAATTCCTCAAGCAGAGGCGAGGGTGGTGAACTTCGACCCGTATCAGAAGAAAGAGAAGGGATGGTCCCTTACACTACTCCTAAAGGTGAATTGATGTGGGTTCATCCTGACTTATTAATGAACGAGCAGTGGACATTGGAAAACTCAAAGAAGCCTAGAGCCACGCGAAGATCTTGCAATACCGTTTTAGCCGTTTCAGATGAAAGGGTTGAAACTACGTCACTTAGCAGTTCTGAGAATGAACAGCTAGCCTTCACTGCACAGCCTGCACATGTATCAGGAACCCGTGGAGGAAAAGAGTATTTGAAGAAATATTCTGAAACAGCGGCTACACCGCCCAGACCAGGGAAAGAAGTAGCAGAGCAAACTCAACCTAAGGAACTTCGTTACTACAAAGAACTCAGGAAAGATGGCCGGAGAATTCGAAATATCCTTTTTGGTTTGATGTGCTGGCTCATATAGCCAACATCCCAGCAAGGATTACCTTGTTTGAGCTCCTACGTTTATCTCGATCAACGAGAGAAGCTCTCCGTGAAGCATTGGAGGATAACGAGGCTTTCCTTACTCATTTTCCACCAAATCCAGCCGGAGCAACGCTGGAAGAAGCTTGTCCTCAATGTTGTCAAGTTTTTCGAAGAAGAATACCATGCATCACCTTTTCTCAAGAAGACATGCATGTGAGGAACCCAAAACATGATAGACCATTATACTTCACAGGGTACATCGGCTCTATTCGGGTAGACAGAATTCAGGTTGATCCTAGTTTTGCTTTGAGCATCATTCCATTGCGGCTTGTTCATCACCTTGGAATTCCTCTATATCGTTTATCAACGACGAGAACCACCATATATGGCTTCAATGCCTCTAATACTCGTCCCCTTGGCAAAATCAAACTCAAATATCAGATGGGTGACTTGAGGACGGATGTTACCTGCTACGTCATCGACGCAGAGACATCTTACAACTTGTTACTGGGTCGGATCCATAACAATTTGATTGTTCCATCCACTCTACACCAATGCATAAAATATATAGGTGAGAGTGGTGAAGTAAAAACAGTGGTCCCAGAGAAGAAACCATTCAAGGGGGTAGAGAATTATTTCACTGATTATATCCATTATCTTGATGGTGAACCATTTGAGGTACCACTGATTGAAGAACCAAATAGTGGTAACGAAGCTGATATTGAGTCTGAACACGAACAGGGTCTTGTTTTTAATGACATAGAACCCATCGTAATCGGTCTTGAAGATCTGGATGTAAATGATCCTGTCTATAAAGACAACAGAGTTATCTTTAATAATAATGATTTAGCTTACTTCTCACGTGTGGAATTAAATCCTAACATGCCAGGTACAAATGCTGATGTGATAGCGGATCCGCTATCCAAGTTATATGCTGAATCAACTTGTACATGCCGAATTCAGTCGTCTTTTGTGACAAATCGACGCAAACCTAATCTTTCTCAAGCCAGTCTTCATAGTACCGGCTAAGGTTAACGGTTCAAAAAACATTAGTCTTCGGAAGAGTGACGGCCTAGTGCAAACCATTTTAGAGGAATCCAAGAAAGAGGAAAGTGATCCGCAATTCTCATACTTTACTCCAACAACTCGAAAGCTTATGAAGAATATAGGATACAATTTCATTCATAAACAGGGCTTAAATTTCGGCAGAGGGATCCGGACACCAATACGATCTGCTTATGTCCCGGAACGAAAGCCAGAAGATTATTATCACAAAACTCGTAGTGGATTAGGTTATGAATCTCCACCGTTTATGCTGCGTTTCGGAATGATGATTCTTTCACCTCGTCTTTCGATCCAATTGTTTGGAATCTGATACCAGTACAGGAGCTGTACTCAAAGTACTCATGGCTAACATGACCTCAGTATCTTCGATAGAGAATCAGGAAAATGATCAATTACTTTTGTTTGATAATCCATCAAGTCGACAGCTCGGTATACAATGGGAACACCATTTTGAACAACGCAAACCCCGTACTGATGACAAGGTGATTCAGGTAAACATGGGAGATGAGATTAATCCAAAAACCATATTCATAAGTGATAGTTTATCGCCAGAAGAGAAAGAAGACCTTATTACCCTAATCTGAGAGTATATTGATATCTTCGCTTGGAACTATAAGGATATGCCAGGGCTTGATCCCCAAGTGGCTATGCATCGATTAAATATCAAACCAGACATCAAGCCTGTTAAACAACAGCAAAGGGGATTTCGGCCCTAAATCATGGAAGCAATTAAAGCTGAAGTTAAAAATCTCATCGAATCAGGATTTATCTGCGAAGAGCAACATCCTGATTGGGTGGCCAACATTGTCCCCATCCTAAAATAGAACGGGAAGATTCGAGTGTGCATCGACTTCCGTGACTTGAATTCGTCTTGTCCTAAAGATGATTTTTCGTTACCTATCACGGACATAATTATTGACAATACGTGTGGGTTTGAGAGGATATCCTTTATGGATGGATTCTAAGGGTACAACCAAATCAAAATGTATCCTGATGATGAAAAGCATACATCCTTTCGAACACCTTCAGGGATATATTGTTATACAGTAATGCCCTTTGGGTTAAAAATGCGGGCGCCACCTATCAACACGCTATGACCTCTATCTTCTAAAAACATCTACAAAAGACTATGGAATGTTACGTTGATGACTTGGTTGTCAAAAGTCGTGACAAGGGAAACCATTTACATGACTTGAAAACAATGTTTGATCTTATGCAGGCGCACCAGCTCAAGATGAAACCAACTAAGCCATTCTTAGGAATGGCTAGTGGTAAATTTCTCGGGTTCGTGGTCATGGCTAACGGAATTCGTTTGGACCCAGATGAAGTCAAGGCCATCCAAGAGCTACCACCTCCTAGGAATCTTAAGGAGCTTCGAGGCTTACAAGGACGATTGGCATATATTCGCAGGTTCATTAATAACCTATCCAGGAAATGCCAATCATTCTCAAAACTAATAAAGAAAGGAGTATCCTTTATGTGAGACGAGGCTTGCCAGAAAGCGTTTGAGGAGATTAAACAATATCTCTCCAATCCACCGATATTGGTCTTACCAAAGTCAGGTAAACCTTTCTTGATATATATTCGGGCTACAGATCATGCATTAGAAGGACTCTTGGCACAAGATGATGAAAATGGCCATGAACAAGCCGTCTACTATCTAAGTAGGACACTATCGGGCGCTGAACCTCGTTATCCTTTCATTGAGAAGGAATGTTTGGCGCTGGTCTTCACAGTTAAGAAAATGCGACATTATTTGTTTGGGCAAACCATATATGTTATTTCTCAGGTCAATCCTATTCGGGTATTCATGACACAGCCCAGTGCATTGAATTGGCGATTCGCCAAGTGGGCTTTGTTACTTTCCTAATATGACATCCACTTCAAACCTCAAAAAGAGTGAAAGGTCAGGTTATTTGTGACCTTATGGCTAATCATCCGCTAAAAGAAAAGGCCGAATTATACCAGGACATACCTGAAGAGACATATGAAGAAAACGTTGTCTCTAGAGAATAAGTATTGAAATTGTACTTCGATGGTGCAGCAAGGACAAGTTCTACTGGTCGGGTTATAGCTGGAGTGGGGGTTGTCTTTATCTCTCCCTAAAACCACATACTCCCACGTGCCCTTTCTTTAACAGAGCCGTGTTCTAACAATGTGGCGGAATACAGTGCTTTGTTGGTTGGCATGGATATAGCCAAACAGTTGGGGGTGAAACGCTTAGAAGCATACGGTGATTCTTAACTCATTGTTAATCAAATGAAGCGAGAATATGAGGTTAGGAATGAAGACCTCGTTCCTTACCATACAGCAGCAATCGCATTGGCCGATTCCTTTGAGGGTTTCTATATTGATCATGTACCCCTGTTCGCGGGAAAAGTTGGTGTTTTCTTCATTATCGATGTCATTGCACTCAGTTAACAACTTTATGTGTTACAAAGAGATCCGGTCTTTTTATAAGATCCGGCTTACAATGAAAATCAAAATAAAACAAAGAAATCAAAATTACAACTTCTCTCTTTTACCGAACAAATCACAAGATCCTGTTATCCGGTCTCTTGCTTCTGTGGGTTGTTTGCCTGCGCCGGGGTTGCTTACCGTGGACCACCGCGTGATCTGGATCCAAGCAGATCTACGACGTATTACGGGTATTATCCCACCAAGGAGATAATAGCCGGGAGGGATCGTTTCACCAAGGAAACGACCGCTCGAATCTCGGGATCTAAGAACCAAGCTTAGATCCGGAGTGTAACGACGTAGATCTGAGGATTAGACTCTCTCGAACTCCTGCCTTTTTCGGTGCGGGTGCTCGCTAAGAATCAAATCCGGGTCTCCAAGTCTTCAAGCCTTCAGATCTCCGAGTTGAGGTGACAATCCGGCAGAGTTTCGGCTCTCTCAAAAGTTTCAGAAGAAGTCCCTCAAATGAACAACCACCCCCCCTATTTATAGCCTCTCTGAACTGTGCCTTTGTGCACAAGAGAGAGAGGGGGGGGAGTCGGGCCACCTGAGGGTGGCTCGGCTCATGCCGAGCCACCCTGAGGTGGCTCGGCCTCCGAGTTGAGGTGACAATCCGGCAGAGTTTCGGCTCTCTCAAAAGTTTCAGAAGAACTCCCTCAAATGAACAACCACCCCCCCTATTTATAGCCTCTCTGAACTGTGCCTTTGTGCACAAGAGAGAGAGGGGGGGGGGAGTCGGGCCCCTGAGGGTGGCTCGGCTCATGCCGAGCCACCCTGAGGTGGCTCGGCCTTGGCCGAGCCACCCTAGGGTGGCTCGGCCTTAGCCGAGCCACCCTGGGGTGGCTCGGCCACCGAGCCACCCTGGGGTGGCTCGGCTTGGGCCGAGCCACCCCGGGTTGGCTCGGTTTAGGCCGAGTCCCCGGGTGTGTTCCGTTTCGCCGTTTTCCGGTGTTTTCCGTCTTTCAGTTCTTCGTTTGATTCGTCCGGACTTTGATTTGATAGCCCGGGTCTTTATTTGGCAGTATTTCCGCCTCGGTGTTTGAGTACAAATCTATTTTGTCGTTGGACGACTCGTTGACTTTCCGAACTGTTGGATTGGTTCCACAGGCGAACATATGCCGTTGTTTGTGTGCTTTATCGCCTCGTCGCTCGAACATCCGTTGATTTGTCGAACCATCATGCTGAACCATGCTAAGGGACCTATAGGTAATTTTATACGCCTACAGATACCCCCTCCAAAGTGTTTCAGCCTCATTCTTTTATAGAAGAGTCTGGAATGCTTTGGATATGATTGCCCCTACCCTTTGTCAGTGTAACGGGACCTGGAATGACCTTCGTTCTGTATTCCTTCAATCCCTCAGGTCATTCAGTGCTTCGTAGAATGCCTGTATGGGTTCCGGTGCTGCATTTATTGTCTGACCGTTGTTGGAATTTGAACTTGAAGTCGATTCCTGATTTTCCAATCTTTAACTCGTGTTGGTTGGTTCGACGTGCAACTAACGCTCGATTGTCGGTGTTGAATCCTCACTTGTGACACGTTGTCCGACGTCGTGTTATTGAGTTATCCTTAAGAATATTTTTAGAAAAATATTCTCCAGGAACTTCTCAACAACAATAGGAAATAGTTTATACTCGTATACCTTATTGGAGTATTTCCGTGCTCAAAATAAGCTGAACCGGCTTGAAAATGAGCCAAAAAAGGCAGTAATTTGGCTCAAAAAATTTCTTCCGTTCCTTCCGAATGTGTGGGAGAGACAGGAATAAACCAAGGATGGGACCCTTAGTTGATTTGAAGTCGTCTCGACGCTTAATTCAGTCTCTTTTGAACTGATTTGGATTGGTCCGGTTCGGTTCAACTTGGCCCGGTCCGGTTCACCTTGGTCCACATTATAAAAGGGGGTCTCTTTTCCTCTTTTTCTCTCTTTTTCTTCTCCTCTCTAGGGCCGGCCCCCCCTCATCCCTATTTTTGATTTTTCTTTTCCCTCGAGCGTCCTTTCGCCATCCAAACATCGTAGTGGTCTTAGACCTGGTCTTCCTTTGGATCCTTGACTGAGAAATCCTTCAAAAAATCATTTTTTAGAATTCCTCTCAGACCCCTCGAGCACGTGGTGAAAGTTTCCTAAAAGGTCTCATCTTCGTTGGATCTCGAGCCTTTCTTCAGGTAAATCTTCCACAATTTGGATCTTTTTCATGCTCAATTTAATTCATGCATTTGTGGGGTTATATGTGAGGGTTGAGGGTGTGATTTGATGCCTCGAGCTAATCTTTCAGGGGGGTAAAAATGCAATTTTGAGGGGTTTTTATGCAAAAAATTAGGGCTGAAATTATTTTTTGAATCTAACCCTTTGAGTTATTTTGCAGGCCGTCATGTCTCGCGCCTCGAGAGGTCGTTCCCCTGCCATGTCGGTTGATGGCGCGCCTCCCTCTTATGCTGGTGAGCTACTTTTTGCAAATAAACCCTTTTTTCTTATAAATTTGTAAATTGACCCTTTTTTAAACCCCACGTTGTTCTCCTTGGCGAGGCAATCGGGAAGAGCCTTGATTCTCCTTGGTGAGGATCGACGCTTCAAAGATATGTTTTGCTTGGTCAAAACCATATCTCAAAATTAAAGGGGGCGATTTGACACTACATTGCGTTTTATAAGGCAGGGATATGTTGTCGACATACCCTGTTTTGTGATTGCACAATGTGGCCAAATCGTCTCACCCTTTATAAGGCAATGACTCTATCTTAGCTATTTGTAAGATGAGTTCAATTTCCTTCTCTCTATAATCTAGGCATAATCTCATACTACCATCCTTCTTCTTCACGAAGAGGACCGGCGCGCCCCACGGAGAATGACTCCGGCGAATAAAGCCCTGAGCTAACAACTCGTCCAACTGGGTCTGAAGCTCCCTCATCTCAGCTGGTGCCATACTATAGGGTGCGCGGGATATCGGGGCTGTGCCTGGCTGCAACTCAATACAGAACTCTACCTCTCTCACCGGGGGTAATCCAGGTATGTCCTGAAAGACATCCTGATACTCTGAGACAACTCTAGTCTCCAATAAATCGACACCCTGATCCCGTCGCATCACCTCCTCGATGTATGCCAGAAATGACTCCGCAAATCGGTTGCCCTGAGAGGTAGCTACAATCATCTCGGACCCATCGGACGCTCGCAACTTGACTGTCTTCGCAAAGCAGTCAATACTAATATGGTAGGAAGATAACCAATCCATACCAAGGATGACATCGAACTCGGACATATGCAACACTATCAAATCAACTATGAACTCCGACTCGTCTAGACTGACGGTACACCTCCTACAAACGCTCTCCAGAAGCGATACCTCACCTAGAGGGGTGGAAACAGATAGAGGGGTGTCTAGTGGTTGAGCTACGAGCTGGAGTCTAGTCATAAATGCATGCGAGATGAAAGAATGTGAGGCTCCCGAATCAAAAAGAATACGGGCGGGAAGAGAGTTCACAAAGAACGTACCCTCCACTACAGCTCCGCTGGCTCCGGAATCACGGGGAACTACTGCATAAACCCTGCCTGTGGCTAAAGACTGCTCTGCTGATGGAGATGGAGAATATGGAAATTGTAACGATTGAAGTTGTAATGAATGCAGCAATGAATACAGCAACTTTTTCCGTAAACAATGGTGCTGGGGAATATGGGATAATCTGTCCCTAGGGAACATCCTGAACAGCCCGAATCTGACCCTCGGTCCTCTGAGCTGCTGGTGGTGCCTCAAGTCTGTTCTGCTGGCCCTGACCTCTGCCCTGCTGTCGTTGCTGCTGCTGGTTCGGACCCTTGCCCTGCTGGGCTCCTGTTGGTGCGCTACGGCACTCCGATGCCTTATGCCCGACCTTGCGACAGTTATAACAAGATCCCTGGAACTTGCGCTGCTGAAATGCCCTCTGATCCTGCTGGGGTCCCTTTTTATAAGGGCCCTAATGCTGCTGCTGAGGCCCAGAAAAAGACCTCTTGTTCTTGCCCTTGTCTCCACTCTGCCCTGTCTTGGCCTTCCCTTCCTTAT